GCAACGCTGCTCTTTTTTTGTTTTCCTGAATTAAAGGCCAGGCTCAGAACCACCGGCGATGGGCGATACACCTGTGCTACTGGGGAGGTAGCGAGTATGCGAACGCACCATGGTGCAACGTAACAGGGCGACCCTCCCTGCAGGGCGTACCCGTCCACCACATGAGGTTTTCATCCCTAGTGCATGCTACCAGATCTGCAAGGTGGAAAACCATCCAAGCAGTCATAAGTGCGGCTTGTGCATTAATAAATAACTCCAGCTACCAGATATTTTATCCGGCTGGGGGAAAGTCAGGCCAGTAAAACAGCTCAGTCATTTCGAACAAGCGAACAGCAAACAGCCACTGGAAGAGGCAAGTCGCGGGAGCAAATGAATCATCAACTACCTTTTGGGCAATGGGAGTAGAATGGGCTGGGTACAAAAGCTGGAGGTCGGAGGAGGGACATGCAACCAGGTCAGTGGAGACAGGCATGAGAGAGATAGAGTGACGGGTTATAGATAAGAACACTTGGGAGGGTAGTCGTCGCAATTGCGGACTAATGCTAAGGGTTTCAGGTTGGCAAGTGTAAGTTCTAGGACCTAATAACAGGACAGTCAAAGTGCGTGCGCGATTGCAAACATCCAGAGTAGCCAACGGGTTTCAGAAGAGTGACCTTCTCCCTAGTTTATGTTTCTGCCCTTCTAACTTCAAGGCTAATAACAGGACAGTCAAGGTGAGTGCGCGATTGCAAACATCCAGAGTAGCCAACGGGTTTCAGAAGAGTGACCTTCTCCCTAGTTTATGTTTCTGCCCTTCTTTTAAACTTCAAGGACTCGGTTGCGACTGGAGACGATGGCCTTCTACCTCGAGTTTTGAGACACAGCGGTCAAGATTTTGGAATCTTCGTCCTAACTCTTCTTACCCACTCAATATACCAAGGAATTGTCCATTCTAAGTAGTGCAAATCTACAGTCCACCCGCGTTTCCAATCCGGATCACAACAAATTACTTCCAACTACTACCGCCATAACTGTGGTAGATGTTCATTTTTCCCCTATTAAAGGACTGTATCCTGTCTGATGAACCCTATGGCTCTCCATACATTGTTGATCTTATCTCACTTCATCTCATTTCATCTTCCCAAGTTTCGCCCCACGGTAATACGCGCTATGGATGACCTGTTTGGCCGTTGTCCACTCCAACTGATATGTGCATTACGAACAAAGGGATTATCAACCTGAAAAAAACAAATACCACGCGCGATACTACATTGGTTTTGCTCACCCTGAGAAACCCCCCGGAAAACGCGCAACATCCCGCTAATCACAGGACTGTGCAACTCAGCCTGACTACCTCAATGTGGACGTCCGTCACGGGGCCGTCTGGAAACCGAAGTATTTCAGTGCAGTAACGGTGCGGCACTGTGATAACCAGTTTGATAGCATACCCGCATTTGTTCACTTCCTACTTTGACCGCGCCCACTCGTTCCCTTACCGGCAACCACAACCGATCTTCATTTGTCACCAGCCACCACCGGGAAGCGTTCATTGCAATCTGCCCAGCCCTCTGACGGATGTAAAGATCTCGGCGACTTTTATTCGCACTCCCCACCAAGTCAGTCAATTTTCGTAAAGTTTGCATGAACTCGTTCTCCCAAATAACTTTTACACTCGACCCTGCTCCAGCAGCAACACTAGTGAGTCGCTCGAGTTTCGCTGCACACCGTGATTCCGGGTTTTCTACTACCATTTGTCCGTACTGCATATTACCCCACTTCACCATCTCCACTTACTTTTCCCGTTGCCGTTCGCCCAAGAGCCCAAGGCCACGAAGCCCTAATGACGGTTTTGGGCTCTAGTTCAAATTGGCCGTGTCGTGGTACAGCAACACTAGTGAGTCGCTCGAGTTTCGCTGCACACCGTGATTCCGGGTTTTCTACTACCATTTGTCCGTACTGCATATTACCCCACTTCACCATCTCCACTTACTTTTCCCGTTGCCGTTCGCCCAAGAGCCCAAGGCCACGAAGCCCTAATGACGGTTTTGGGCTCTAGTTCAAATTGGCCGGCCATGTCGTGGTAGTTCTGCTGCCTCTCCAGTTTCATTACTCTGGCTCCACATTTCCTGCCGTTTGAAGTTTTTTGTTTTTTGTCACGTTCCAGGCAGGAAGCTTTCTGTTGTACCCTCATTTGAATTGTTTTTGCCCGCCACTTTTAAATCCTATCAATCAGAACTTGTGTCATTTGATATTATCTCCATAGGAGATGAAGAGCCCTCGTAATTTTGGATCCCTACCCATGCCACCTCAGGTGTGATTAAGTCCAATTCGTTAATGACCACTGTTTTCCACCATCCCTTTTCCGGGAAATTCACATTAATCAGTCATGCTCTTATTCTGACTGCAATACTGAGATCATGTCTGACGGTATGCTACCCACTAATTGGGAATAAATATTATTATTATTGTCATTAATAATGATAATAAAGTTAGTCATTTTCTCTATAGTTCGCATTCCGTCTTGGGCGTTAGCACCAGAGAATTTTTACTCCAGACCCCACTCCAGCAGTGTTCCTAGTCATTCTCTGCAATTTCAGTGTACACCATGACTATGAGATTCCCGCCACCATTTATCCAGATTCCTCCACTTAATCATCCACACTTTCAATTTTTGTAACCCTGACAGTAAGCCCAACAGTCTCAGGCCGAATAGATCTCATCGGTGGTTTTAGACCTTAGTTCACACTGACAGGCCAGATCGTGACAATCCAGCTACCACGCCAGCAACGTTGTTCTGGTTCACAATTCTTCGCATCTGAATTATTCTCATCATGCACCAAGCAGGATGTCTCTTTTTGCCCTCTCTCATTCTAGTTTTGCCCACAACCTTCAAACCTTAACGATCTCATCTTGACACGTCCTCCCCCAAAGTAAGATAAACAATTACAACTGTGCCTCTTTTCCCATGCCGATTAAAGTGTGGTCAAGTCCACATCGGATGTTGTCCACTACTTATGACATTGTCCTTTTGTTCACACAATCCCCGCAAATACCCCCAACCGTATGGTCATGCTTGACAGTATACCATACAAAAGTTGGGAATAAACGCTATTGTTATTGTCATTAGTGTTATGATTATTATTGTATGGAAGTCCCTGCGAGCAATACGGGGAGGGTGTGTTTAATCCTCCCTAGAATATCGAATGCCCCTTGGGCAGATCTCTCATGGTGCAGTGAGAAGGAAATGCTTGAACAGAACCAGATTCCCAATTTGTTTTTGGCATTTATCCTCGTGAAGCCTTTGGTCTTTTTCTAACGATGCATGACAGAGGCGTTCGCTGAGTCCCCTTCGAAAGACAAATGGACGCACTTCTCATTCAGAAGAAGGTGCCAAGCCAAAGACCACTGCTTTGCAGCTTCTACAGTCATTTGGAGGGCACTGGCGTTTGAAACCCAGGAGTTCAAGTCGTTCGCAAAAAGTAGACATGGACTTGAATGAAATTCTTGAAGGCCATTGACGTAAACAAAAACAGCAGTGGTCTCAAAATGGAGCCTTAGGGAACTCCATTGGAGACCGGCGCCAAAGGCCGAACCTTATTTCTCCCGGAATATTCTGTCTGATAGAAACACCCTAATCCAGCATAGAATTTTACCTTGAATCCCGTAAGACTCAAGTTTTTGGAGCAGCGGGACGTGTGAGACTCGATCAAACGCTTTCGAGAATTTGAAAAATATGACATTTGATATGAGTTCCTCGTCCTTAGCTTCAGTTAAGCTGTCCATAAATTCGAGGATGTTCGTCACGCAAGAATCCACGTTGAACTGGGGATATCAAGTTGTTGGTATTGGGCTAATCCAGGGTGGTTTGCTTCAAGATGCGTCCTCTCACCTTACGCGGTACGCCCGCGAGGCTAATAGGCCTGCAGCTGTCAGGTATCAATGTGTCATCTATGTGCGGCCAGCATGAGTTCACCATTCGACTGATTCCGAGGATATCAAAATCACGAGCACCCCCATCCAACAACTAAGTAGAACTGAAGGTGCTACGATGGTTGGTTCCACATAACCTGACCGAATACACGGTTACTTCGATTGGTTGTTCATTGTTCCGGTCCTCCATACAGAGTAGTATTCCGAATCTGGTGTCGAGGTTTCCGGCTCGACCGCACTCAAATCCCTTATTCACCCGCAATATTTGGGACCCACGAATACCACCAGAACCTGACAACGATATTGCAACGTGACAATCCAAATACAAGGTTCGTTATCGCATAAAATCTTGCGATACAGATGTAAACCTTAACCGATCAACAGCTGGGAGATTGTCATGGTACCGAAACGCGCGCGTTTGGAAAACTACTCGAATTCACTGACATGGATTCAAAAATAAAGCGCACGTTTCAGCCTCTTCCCAATATTGAGAAGGTCAAATTAGAAATTGAAGAAAAAGAAAAAGACCCAACGTTACAAAAGTTTCTTAGATTTTCCCTCGAGAAAGAAAGGAAAGCTGAGATTGATAAACTAAGGTATTTTCAGTCTTTTTATCAAGGTCACGACATAAAAGCATTAAGCGTGCCAATGCTGCTTATAGGTTAGCACAGATTGAGTTGGCTACAAGACCACCAAAGTTGCCCCAGCCCGACCTCCCGTCGTTTGTACGTTTCGCACATTAAATCTCATGAGATTTTGCACTGTTTCAGATGATGAGCGAGGAGTTGAAGCTATCTGTAGGTTGAGTTACAATTCACACTTCATTCTGCCAAGAAAAATTACAAACTTCTCAAATCCTATGTTGAAAGCAGCATCATCCCATCTATCCAAGATTCATGGCTGCAAAATATTATGGAAAAGATTCCGAAAAGATTGAAAAGTGGAAAGGAGGCTGAACTAAACCAAGTCCTATATGAAGTTAGGGAAAACTTTTTAGAAAGCCTGAAGAAAGCTCTGGCTCGTCAAACTTTAAAAAAGCCCGATATTCCTCAACTGGCTGATGACGACCTTACTCCTCCACCAGAAGAGCCAAAGTAATCATTAACATCAACTACTCACTCCATAGAAATATAAACTTTTCCAAACCATGGCACGGAGAATATGTGAAACACAGAAAAGAATTAGTTTCTCGTCTTATGATACTGTATCCCCACATGCAGAAAATCCTCGATTTATGCCAACGACAATTTGCCCAGATCGAAATCACCGATGTGAAAGCTTACCGGTATGTAAACCTGTGCTCTGCGTTGCACGATTTCCAGTAACTTGGGCGCAGTGGACTTTGAAAATCTTAAAGCGGTTGTTCAACAAGAAGTGGCGAACAAAATGGAGATATTGACACAGAAGTACAGTTATTCCTCTCTTGTTGACAACCTGCGTTAAAGATGGCTTCCAAAGATTTTCCAGTTATTTTCGGATAAAAATTCAATACCTCCTCTGCGGAGCGATATGCTCGAGTCCTTCTTCAACTGCGTTTCCACTATCCTGTCAATACAGGTAAAATGGTTTTCTAGAAATATTGCATGTGAATGACAGATAAAGCACTTCCTGCAGCGAAATCTCGAAGAATGGGTAGACCTTTTTGACGAAGAACATACAGAAAGGTTGCCAGTGCTAAAGATGTACCTTACCTATGAAGACCAGAAAGTGCAGTTTTATCCAAGTATGGAAGATCTGGAGGACCTAATTTTGTTCATCAGTGACCAGATCACTAACTCGCTGCAGCAAGTAAGCAACTCAAAGAATTTATTTATTTCCAACTTGTGTTTTTGACATTGACGTTTACTAGTTGACTCTAAAAGGGGAAATGAAGGAATGGTACGAGAGGGATCCCCATGCTTACAGATGTTAAGCATGGTAACCCAGAATGGCCAATGACGTTAACAGACAATAAGCCGCATTGCACTTAACTATAAAAGCGTTCACATTACTTTATTTTCTTATACAAACACCTGAAGGGAAAGAAACCCCTGGAATTACCGCGATGCATCAGGCTTATGTACATTCGTAAAACCTAGAACCTCGCAACTTAAAACTGCACTATGAAAACAAACACCCCTGAAGCAAGAAAAACGTCTAGCGCACAAGGTAGGAGCACAAACAAAAAGTTATTTTTTTGGTAAATTCGTTATCGATAGGGATAGCTCCTTGACTGGTGCGACCCTAAAAGCCAAGAAGCAAACAAAGTAAAGCGAACTCAAATTTCCCACTCACATGCACTGAGACAAACAGTCAAAGAATCCAAGATCTGTCTTAGACAACAGCTTTCTTATCTCAAATTTGGTTTTCTAAACACCATTAAGTGGAAAATCACAAACTACATCGCTTGGTAACTCATGATTTACATCCGACCCCTCACTAGTCCAGAACCGAATACAATAAACTTGTGCACACAAGGCAACGCCAAGTGTTCTGATCGTTTCTTTCATAATTGTTACTCTTGCATCTAAGAGGAAATTCATGATGGAACCTCCAATATTCAGATGTGTTTTGCTAAATGTTTCAGGTTCTAAGCTATTCCACTTGGATTATCACAGTAAAATAATGAATAAGTTATGGGTTTTCATATCACATCTTCCAGAGAGCGATACCAAATTTACTGATAGGAATAAAGTTAGTTTTAGAGCAACATTACAGACCACAAGAACGGAAAGTATGAAACCATGGTACAGGCGGTGGTGGAATCACAGGGACAAAAGTAAAATTAGAAGCTTTATGCATATACATGCATCGTTGATAGAGCTGAATAAAGAGATGAAAGTTACATTAGAAAGCAAGCATCCAAATAAATAACATGCGGCTTCTGATCTTAAAGGCAGTCGGTAAATCCTTTGACAAAACTTTGAACGTGTATACATACAGGTAAAACAACATAGAAAATGGATATAAGGCGAGCGCAACTCATGGCAACACGGGTAATAGCAACATGAGTAATAGCTAAAAAAAGGAAGTTACCGACCCCTCGTGGTCACTCGGCAGGCCCCCTCCTTGTCTTAATGTTGTCTTACATAACAAAACAGTGTTATTCTTGACCGACATTGTAGTTTTGTAGCGGACTAGGACCTTATCAGCGTGTTCGGATAAATTAACAGGCAAAGCAACCAATACAAAATCACAAAATCACAATAGGAAAAGAATGAGTAGTCAAATGAGGACTCACGAATTTGTAGATCCAATAGTCCACCACACCAATCCAACTTCAGTAACCGGCTGTGAAAGGAAAAATTCACTCGTCGAAATTTCCCACGGATGGTTCACGCGTGCGTGATATATTCCACGGTAGGAAAATTATTCACGGCTAAAAAATGCCACAGGGATTTATTGTTCCACAGTTGACACAAACACAGAGATCTGGTCTCACTGGTTCATCAGTCAACAAACAGTTCAACGGAGCGTAAATACACTCGTTCAGCAAGAAGTCAACAGGTCGCCCCGGAAAATTGTGTATTCGTAGCATTAAAACAAACGTCATGATACAATATGTACGACAGTTACAAAGTGCGGTTTAAGTTCAGGAAAACAGCGGATTAGAGACACTACAGTGTCCACAGTGTGCTGTGTAACTGAACAACCTGAGAAACGTACTAGTAAGGTGACAAATTTCCACGCACTCAATGATTCACGACCAAGAATGCAGAGCAGGAGTAAACGCGTTATTCCGTCGCCGGCCACAAAGCAACGCTATACGAAATTACCTTGCCGGCTTAATGCAATTTTCAAGACCCATAAGAAGATCATGACTCAACTAGGTTATCTTCCACCTATAAAGAATACTTGAGGTTACCTGGCCATGTTTAAGGCACGGGAAAGCCAGTCGTTCACCGATGCCGTCATAATGAATCTTCAGCTGGGCGAATATTGAGAACAAACTTATATTTTTACTCCCATAGGAGCAAAGAACACTGCATACAAAACGGAAATGTTCCAGCTGTAACCTTGAGTACAGCGTTAGACATCCTCTAAAAATACGAAAAATAATATTTTGTCAGTCGGTTGCGGACAGCGTCAAAAACAGAAAGATAACCGTTTCCTGGCACAAAAAAGGGACAAGAGTGTGTCACGGAAGCGAGATACTTACTGGATGCATCCAAATATTTTACTTCAGGCGATTGGCATGGAAAATTCATGGCTGTCAAAAGTTTATCACACTGTGTTACAAGTATGCTCATCCATGTTTAACAGCCTATCTTAACTTCCAACAGCAATTGTCATTCAATAGACACATGCGGTGTTTAAACAAAACAGAACTTCATCCAAAAGATGCTACTGATGCACTAGAGGAAAAGCTGGTGAAAACCTCTGGGTGAAATCTCATTTCTGGTAACGTATCTTGTCAACCTGACTCTCACACATCCAGTTGGTCATCTATATCTTGGTGGGAAGTCGGTTTGGCCTGATGAACAATACTGAGCACAGTATTATTCAAAGGTGAATGACTGTTTTCTTCAGCCGGTACATGACAAATGTACCAATAATGTGTGAGGTTGTACTGGTGACTGATATGTGGGATGGGAACATAGCGTGTACTATAGGAATACATTTTTCTTACTTGATGCTTACGGAAGTCATATGTGAACCGCGGATAGAGGTCGGTGTTGACTGTTGAAACCAAAAACAAGAGGCAATCGTACAGGCGGTGACAGGGCCACATGGATGGAATTAAATTTAATCGTCATATGCGGACACATACAACTTTGAGGTGAATGCGAAGATGGCAAGGAGGGAAGATGGCAGGAGACGGCTACACTAAAATGTGGATATCCATAATGAGAGAAACGATCAGGTCAAAGGTTTTGAAAACTTTAAGTATCCATGTACTCTCTCAAATATCGAAGCAACGTCGCTGACTTCTTTCAGAAGCAATCTTGTTTCTCTCCCACCTAGCGCTTATTAGGTTTTACACTTTAGAGTTGTGGAAAGAGGAATTCTTGACTAAACATTAACTGATTGCCCAATTTAAAATTTTACTCAGGGTAAGAGTTTCCCTAGAATCAAGTAAACTAGACTAATGTGCGTGGAGAAAATGTGATTAAAAATTGAGCAAAGTGTCTGAGACCAATAAGCCAGGTTCTACTGCCAAGAATATGGTCATTATACCCTTAATCTATCAGGTCTGCAGCCTAAGCAACTCACAGTTACACATTATGTGTGAAAGCTCAATGGCTGTCAAATGTTATCGATCCATCTTTAATGTCAGTCATCCTAATATTGTAACAAAGATAAATTACCTGTGAGTATCTATGGACCTTGTAGAGTCTGTTACATCACTTCCACCTTTGCAATTTTTTCGTTCGAATGCACTCATTCTGATTGATCTCCGCCAAAGATAATGTGATAGACCCGACGTTACTACTGATAAATATCACAACCAGGTCATGTATCCGGTTTTCGTGAAGATTTCTGAATTGCGCGGCAAGTGTTTTACACCAATACAGCAGAAACGGCTATAAAACTTGAATAACCACGTTTTATGTTTATACATTCTAAACTATGACCGGCAAACGAACGCCAGATCCGTAAAGAAGCACATTTCTTAAAAAACGACCAACGAAGCTTTTGATATCAGATGGAGGATATAAGCTGGAAATTCAACAGGTTATATAACTTGAAAGTACATTTCCTGGAAGTACCTGGCGGTCTGACGTTAAACACCCCTGTGCAGTACAACTGTTCCATGACATCAGCACAGAAAGTGATGGAGTTTCTGCAACAAATGCAAAACTTTTTGACGTGTGTAAGGGTTTCATTATGACTTGGCTTCTGTCGTGGAATAGTAGAGTTAATCAACTGCTTATCTCAGCTGAAAATAGGAGTATAAAGCAGATATTTAGTATCCGCTCGTGAAATCAGATGGAGATAACTGACTATGAGTACATTCTGAACATATTTGTGCGGAACCTGGACGCAATCGCTGCACCACGCCAAGACAACACTAACGGTTTAACTACTCTTGAACCCAGAAAAACTGGTTGAGGCTGTATTTCAAAACTCGGGTATCACTGGAATCTCCGTTAGATGACATAAACTATTCAAGTGTTAACAGGACGATGCAGTCGTCTTGCTGTCAACACACAACTATATAGAGAAACAAGAGAAGAAGGGCACAATTTATTAGCTACCTTTCAACGCTTGAAGGTTCAACTTCACAGTGATGAGAATAACTACGTACGTAGGCCAGACAGAGGAGAAGATTTCATGTATGAGTCAAAACTCCCTCTACTAATGCAAATTGCGCACACGTTCAACACACGCACACACTATAAATTCGTCATTTTATGCACACGTTGCCGGCTTAGGCAAAGCATGTTCTCCACGGCTACTTTAGGCAATAACAACACGCTACTTAACATATTAAAACGGAGCCTGGCACCTAACAAACTACCGGTATATTGAACGCTGAAGAAGCTGGTCGCAGCAGACTCACAGTACGGACAAAGTGGGAGCAAACTTCCGGGAGATATTCAGCAAACGGAGGTACTAATTTGGGCATCTTCAAGCAATAAAGCGTAGACGACACAGGACTGTTTGCCCGTAAATTTAAAATGCGAGGCCTCGCAATTTTTCTCATCGATGCCTAGTGAACAGATGAGACAAAAAACCAAAAGCCAAAAGTACAGACGGGTGTCAGTGTAGCTCACTGGTGAGTCAGGCGAAGATAGACCAGGGAGCCACCCTAGAGCTCATAACATAAATAGAGAGCTTGACGCGGTGTAAAGTACTGTAGAACAAACGCTTTGTTGATCACTCATCACTGAGAACCCGAAGTACCTAAGTGATTGGCCAGCGTCACGGTACAAACAAAAAAAACGTGAAGAACCACGAATATCAAAACTTTTGCACCGGTTGACTCAAGTTATTTTGAAGCTAGCTTCATAATGTGGTTATTTGCAACAAACAGACACTTTTCACAATTATCCAGCTTCACAAGATCAGAAAACTGAACACCCAAATTTCAAGGCAACGGATATAATAACTATATTTTGCAGCGCCCTTAGAAATGTGTTTAACTAAGATGCTTGTTAATGGGGTCTTTTGCTTGATTGGTCTGTGATACATCAACATACTAGGCTTTGTAGCACTGTTTCTGTACAGTGCGAGGCCCCACAAGAATATCAGAAGATGAGATGCACAGCAAATGAGGAAGTTCTGCCAAAACCACCCGAAAAGTACCGGTCTTTTTCGTAGTCCAATTTGAGTGTATTCATGTCAACTGTTACTGAATGGCTGAATACTTTGGAAGTTTATTCGATTCATCATTTTCTATGTGAGCTGATTTCTGTCGGTATCTCCTTCTAATACTGAAATAGTAGCAGGACCTAATGGCGTCCACTTTTAGAAAATGCTTTCAACCGAGCATACTACTCACAGTCACACAAACAAGCTTATCTAAACAAAGATTTTCTCCCTTGGTATTTATCACTCTAGTATGATTCGATTACAGTGTAACCTCACAAAACATTACTGTTTACTGAAAAGCATGATGATAAGCCCACTGAACGGCCTGGAATGTTGGACGCTTTGCCAGCAAATTACGGTCAGTTAATAACAGCCGTCTAGAGAAGAACTGTTGTTTAAGTAAACGAGCTTTACTATTTGTACTACTTATTTATACCATAGTAAGAAGGTTTTGAGGTATGTTGAAAATTGTTCACCAAATCATTATGCCCCTTGTAGAAAATGACTTTCACCAGAATAACAAGTAGTTCAGCGTTTAGTGAAATGAACTCATCTGCGAAAAAATTTGTTTTTGCGGGAGACTCACCTGGAACCCAGCTGAATCTGTCGTTTCTGGCATATTTAGCTAATTTTGTGCAATTTTGTTTCAAGTAGAATATAAAGTTGACGAAAATCCGAGGACTGCGCATACCTGGTGCGCCCCAAGAAGGGCGAAACTGGCCATGGCTGTCGAAGAATTTTCAGCCACCTTATGAGTAATGTAATACGTCTATATTTTAGATTTTATTTTACTTCACACATTTACCTTGTTAGGTGATTCTATTTATTTGATGGTGGCATCGAAAGTTCTCCTTTCTGTATCAGGTACCGACGGTGCAGTCCTGGCTCAACATACCAACTACTAAAAAATACGTGGATGCAACGTTGCCACCACACGTATTAAACCCAGCCAGGGAAAAACTTCGGGCTGCTGTGAAACGCTACCTTGAAAGTCCGTATAAATATTTCGAAAAGAAATTTGGTAAGTTGTTATGATCCACAAATTAATCATTTACCGGTTTAGTTGAGCCATATTCCTTCTTGTTGGATGGATCCGAGGCCAAAAAGGTGGAGAATTTCCTGAACAGCAAACAGGAATTTCGAGACTACCGTGAGGTACGAATGAAGTGAATGTGGGTTTTGAGCATGAGTTGTCTGACTAACTTATTAATTGCTTGTTTGTGAACTGACGTTTTATCGTAAACAAAGAATAGATAATATAAAATAACAATATTGGCGTAAAATCTCCAACATGGCTTTGTTTTGACTGTTTTATTTCTAAAATGGTTGTTAAGAAACGTTATATTAGGGAACGAATGGATTCTTTTACTGGATTGCTTGTTTGCACTTAACCGTGGAGTTGGTCTCTGCTATGCATATAAACTATCTCCTTGCAGCCTGGCTGTTTTTTGTGAACATAACCAGTCTATTGATTTCTAGAATGTGATTTCCCACTCATTTGATTGCTATTTATATACCAAAACCAACATTTCAGCCTTCTTCTAGAAACCCGAATGGCAAAGTGACATTCATGGAGATCCACATGCAAAGTTACTCAGACATTTGCAGTCCACTTTGTCATTCACAGTTCTGAGAAATCAGCCTCCTGGCGTTTAAATTTGTATACAAACTACCCTGGAAGGTAAACTGGAAAACTACTATTTTGGTTTTATCTATAAAATGAATAAACACAAACAGAAAGTACAAAAAGTCTCGTATCCTATTTGACACCTGCGGGATCTTATGTACCCCCATGTATTTTCACATATCTAAACGCTATTAATAGCCACCAGCATATTATATCATATGCATAGAAAGCTTCTTGAGGAATTGTGCCACACATACGAAACTTTGGCAAACGCGAGGTTCCGCAACCTAAAACAGCCTCTACGTCTTACAAAGAGTAAACGTTCAGTGTGTTTTATAACACATCATGAAATATGGTGGGGAAGAATTCGACCACTCTTCTTAAAAACTCGATTTCGTGAACGAAGTCTCACTGCTGAAAGTAGTTCTGACAGTATTATGCGCGATTCTACGTTTTAGGTGATTTTTTTAGGACTGGTGCGAGCAGAATGTGCAGAATTAGTTTTGATATTTGGAGTGAGATGAGAGGTTTTTATAGAAATTTCAAGTGTCAAATATGGTCAGATGAACCGTTATCCATCGGCAGGCGGACAAAACCGTAAAATCACAACCAGTGTTGAGATAAAGGTGCCTGATTTGGTACTTATTATCTCCCCGTGCCAATTTCCCACGTGAAGAATGCCACTCAAAACGTGTTGAAACGCTCTGTATTTCGACCAAAATTTTGTCATGTACCAAACTTTTCTGAAGCAACGTCATCCATCCTTGCGGACGTGAAAGCAACATAGCCTCTATATTTTCTTTCTTTCTATATTTATTCATTTGTTTGTTTAGTATACGGCCAAGTTGCACGCCATTGGTCACGAGGTCATGACTTTGCCGAATACAGAATACTTTGATCTCATTCGTCTGGATTGCGAGGATGTCAAAGTTGGACTGTCTAAAGAATGTCGGCGCCTTGCCAATGTATTGCTGGAACGTGTGGTCTCAGATTTCAAACAAACGAACAACGAGTATGTTTGTGATATGCCTAGCTACTGCGTACAGGGGCAAATCCTTTTAAGACTGGTCACCGATAGATACAGCATGATATTAGCATTGTTGCGGAGCGCATCTTACTGAAAAAAATTGCGATGCTGACTTTCATCTGAAAGCTATCTGAAAATGTTCACGGAACCACTAATACTCAAATAAAGGTTTTTTCAGCGAAATTTTTTCTGTAGAACAAACTATTTGAAACAGCTAGGGAGAGAAACAACTGGAAGTGTGTGAGCAAAGAATAACTTATGGGGAAAAAATTTTTAAGGTTTACCTGATATGTCTTTTTGAGAACTTCAGTAGAGTTCTAGCCGTTTTATTTAGCTTTTTATGATCAAGCTGTAAATCAGCGTGGCAGTATGTACCAGAGTGAACCCGCAACTATTCGGATTATCTACGTAAGGGATGTGCCTAAGTACTTGGACTTACTGTAGATCACTGATGGACTTACTGAAGTGGAGAAACCTATCCAGCTAAACAAATATCCCCTAAATAATATGCAATATAAAAAAGGATGTAGCCATGGATTCTATCGTAATTCTTCTCTAGTCTAGGCGCCATTTTTATCACTATAATAATTTAAATAAATGCTCCAATCGGTGACATTGCATGCTATCACATTTCTGGTGGGCAAATGATCTAGTTATGCTTTTATAATATGCCCAGGGAGACAGGCATGTGTATGTAAAGCCCCTTTGTCACTCAAAAATCACCTCGGATAAATGGCACTTTGTCTGGTTACATGCAGCATGTCGCTGACATGGTTTTGTTTAGTTTAAAAATTGGCGCCACCTAGGGGCGCGCTCGTCAATTCATGTCCTGAAACGCGGCTTACGCTGATACCAATTCGAATACAAGAAGTCACATGTGCCTAACAGTGGCCGACCCCACCATAGCTGATCTTCTTCCGGTATAGTCTGAGTTCACAGGGGAAAGCAACTTTTCCAAGACAGTCAAAGTGAGTACTTCAGAACAGAAAAGGCCTACCTTTCGGAAATCTTTGCCTTCTTGTGGGCTGGTTGTGCCAATGCCTGCATTCATCCACGTGGGTTTCCAAAGATATACTTCTTTTGACGTAAAAATCGGGGCTATAGAAACCGGTTATGGGCTTTTTCTGCTCCCTTGAACCAGAATTGTCTTGCGTCATATCATGCTGTCGCGCTGATGATTGATGATGATGATGATGATGATGATGATGATGATGATGATGACGATGATGATGATGATGATGATGATGGTGATGATGATGATATGATGATGATGATGATGATGATGATGAGTTACTTAAGTGACAATAGGCACGCAGGTTCCACTGAACTTTTCACGCTACTAGGCCTATCGATAAACCAAACAGTATTAAAACTGATGCACTGCACGTCTAAGCTTAGAAAACAAGCCATGGTTCTTAGCGGTAGATAAATTTCTCAACCGTTTTCTTTCAATCGCTTATTCGAAGAGCAAAATCTTATTGTACCGTAAGCTAGACCGACCAGTAAGTCCATTCAGCACATGGAATTTCCACAAGGCGTTTGTGTGACCTGACTTCATTATAAAACCTAATTCAACCTGCAGAAAAATTTTGTTATTTGATCCCTGTGTAAGACTGGCAGAAATTTTCCAACTCGTTTTCTTTTGAGATCTGCATCCCAACTTCTCGCCGCAATTAGGCTGGAGATCAAGCGATTATCCTTTGTTCTGCAGGATTTGCGCTAGTTTCGAAGAAATGCGCGATCGCAGCAGAGCGATTCCACAGAGTAGTGAAGAACTAATTGACATGATTCGGTACATGGAGGAAGCTCGATGCCAAGGCATGGTTCGTATGGAAGCAAAGATATCGGTAAGTCCTCCATGATATGTTGTTTTGAGGTGAATTAGACCAGGAAGTTGCGATCACCTGATTGGAGACAGCATCTTTACATGAATTTCGATCTATCTTCCGCATGCAAAAGTCATCACGCACTTCATTTAATATGGTTATTACGCACTCAGAGAGGCTATTTGATTTAAAGAACGAAATGGGTCTGTTTATCCAAAAACGCGCCATTCATTTGGGACAACTTTTAACGTTCGTACGAAAACTGCTCAAAACATTGCGTTAACAGGATATTGGAATATTCTAAAATCGGTAAAGCTAGAAAGTTATCCAAATAGATTATGAGGTGACAAATCGATAGCGAGTTGCAAATAAGATGAATTATCCAGGCTGCTCCTCGTTGGTTCGAGTTTACCAAGTTTACAAGACCTTTTCTACAAATGAAACGGAGGTACCCAGTAAGTTAGTCTTGCCTTATTAGAAAATATACTTACGTGAGTTGGAAAAAAGTGTTTTTCCCAACGCAACATCATCCACTTTCTGGTTTGTTCTGATTTCGCGTCACCAGGTGGGTGTGGTCTGTCAAAAGTGAACTTTGAACCTGAGCATCACGTGAACATCCGATCGATACGTACCAAACTAGATGCATCTTTTCAGGATGCATCAGCCTTTTTCTGAGTAATACTAGCAAACTACTCAAGCCGTGTATGGTACTTGGGAAAGAGGTTAGGAACAACCAAATGACCATTCGTCAGCAACCAGCCTCCCAACGAACCGTCACACACACTAACCCAAAAGGAACGCTTCATAATTATGTGAGAATGCCTCCATCTCGTGAAGGATAACGTAAATGGTTGCCGTAAGCGTAGCACCTGTTTGATTCTTAGAATCAATAGCGCAGTGCACAATTTCCGCATTTCGAGGCAAAATTACCGAGCACCGTTTTTCTAAAGTGATTGAAATGAGAATAGTAACGATCTTAAAAGCTCCTAACTCAGCGCGTACTTCCAAACACAGTGAAACGTTGGTGATGGTGCGTCTACTAAGGCGGAAACATAAATGATTGAACAACTGCAGATGCGACTGTAATTTTATTATTATTGTCATCAGTATTATAGTTATTGGTTAAAAACTGTTTAAGATAAGGCCAGAAGTGGAGGATACCGCAAGCCCCTAAGAAGCAGAGATTAGTGAACCCACTATCTCTCAGGTGTTCCCACAACGGGCAGGACTTCCTTGAGGCAAACGAAGCAATCACTTCCAGAGAGCTATTATAGGTACACTCCAGGAGAAAACCTTATCGGAGCCAGTCTTTCGAGGTTAAACAATAGGTCCGTATTGTAGGATAATTAGGACTGAGGCCCTTGGATCAGCAAACCTATGTTGTTTGCACATACAGAGAGAACGCCTTTCCGGAATTTCGATAATGTTCAATAGAAAACAGATGCTCCGTAGTTATGGGACGATTGCCACACTAGTGAGGGAATCATTTCTAAAATATGTTGGCGATCTGGCTGACTGCGATAGGGGGAGGGCTAATAAGATTGTATAAAGTTACTGCATATCGCGAACAGAATATACGACTAGGCGAGATTTTTTCACCGGTATTTAGTGATACGCATGTGTAGACGGTGCCTCGGATGAAAGGATTGTTTCACCAGCATGTCGATCTGGTACCAGGTAAAGCAAACGGATGCTCTGAAACTATCACCCCTTAAGCTAGCACTAAGTCCCTCCCCCATCCACCTTTATTCTTTTCTTTACAATAAGGCTTTCAAGTAAGTCATGGCTGAACGGCAGTGAAGCATTGGTGTTGAGCACTGATGTCATGCTGTCGTTGATGATGATGATGATGAATGGAAAAAAGTAAATGTAAAAACAGAAAATGGTCTTTGTACATAAAGATGGTGGTAGCCATAAAGAAAAGCGCTTTCAAATGCAAAAAAACGGATCCGGCAAAATACCTGGCAGGCTATCTAGTACGATACTGGACAGAAATCCAAAGGCTATGTAAAACATGTCGGAATCACTTGTCGGATCCACTTGTTTGTTTATCTGCCACATATCATCATATTCGCCTTCAAGCTTTTTGACGGCTTTAGAACCAGGTATCACTACGTTGTCTGTGAAGGTCGAAATATATCCCTTTTGATAGGGTTTCCAATATTCACGAAGACCTCTGAGGCTTATGGCTTTTGCAATACATTATTCAAACTACCACCGTAAGCGTTCCACGCCTAAAATGAATTTAGTCTCCGGTTTAAAGATACAACCCACGCCTGCGTTTACCTTTTCTCTCCGTACTTCAGTGGGCCCGCGAATATCTTGACTATCTGTTAGATGTTTACATCTTTACACCGGAAGATATTGCTCAAAATAGCGCGGTGTTTTCATGGAAGGCTCGGATTCAACCTGAGTTTGACGAGAATGACAAAGTGAGTACACACATTTGTTCCATCAACCCTGGAACTAAATTTCACATTACGCTTTTTTTCCCGGTATTTTAGCTTTCCGATAACCACAGATTTATGCGCTCAGTCTGTCACGCCTGTTGCCGTGGCATGCTACAAAATAGCATTTTCACCTAATAGCTGTTATCATTGAGCATGTGGAGCATGCCATCAGGTAAAATACTGATGTTGCCGCTGTTATGGTGATCTATGAATTGGCACATATCAAATCCTTCTTGTGGAAATAGAATCTGACCATTCGAGAGCTGCCAGATTGCCTAAATCAGCACTTGATTGTAGAGCGATTCGTACAGAATCCATCAAGATTTCCTTCTGTGGGCATCCTACCGATCTCATCTACACCCGGCCAATAAGTCCCACAAAAATGTGAAAATGTTGCGTGGCTGTGTTTCTCAGAAACGACGTTCGCTTCGCTACAGACTACCAACTAGCCACGAGTAGTCAAAAGAGAATCATAACACAACTTGCAGCAGCACCTCCAACTTAAGGCATCACAGAATAGCAGGTTTCCAGTGTGGTTTAGACCTCGGTTATTTGGACCAGAAATATAGGTTGGAAATTCTGATGACATCAGCACTTGGAACTTACACGCACTACACGTACAACCGCGTTTAACAGGAAAGTGCGGTCCAAAGAGACTTGTGTCCACAAATCCAGTTCAATATGTGGCACTCTTCATGTCCCTGTGAGGCTCATTAAAATTGATGACAGCCGAAGTAGTGTCTTTTTGATGTAGGATTTTCATTATTCCTCATGCCGACATGTGATGGAAGGAATTTTTCAAATAATACTTGTTTAAACATAACTTACAGTTTTCCCCACAGGTATGTGGGCAGAGCATCAGCTCGCAGGATGATGGAGTGTTTTGATTGGTTGTTCTTATTGCTTTCTGGTCTGCTCATAATCTTAAAAGTATGAAGATTCTCCTTCTATGGGTTTGTTCTGTTCCAAAATAAATGGAAAGCATGTCGGCGATATCTTGGTTTGACCTCCTTCTAGGAATTTTCAAATTTGAAATGGTTTGATTTGCAATGCAAACACTATAAACTTTCACATGTGAGTCGGCTAGACCTGAACTCACTAAAGCAAATGGCATAAAGTTTCTGAGGCGTCCATACATCTAAGGAGACTATGGTGTTTCCAAACGCTCACACAAAAACATCTGGATCTCAGAACACTAATTTTCACTCCTCTAATTGAGTAGCGCAAATTCAAAGGGTCTCTTGAATCTGCAGATAGACTACCACATCTAGATACGTTCGGACAAAGATGACTACATTCGAAGTTTGTCAACATACTAAGTGCTCCTTATTCCAACGCCTCTGGTCGTGATAGGGTTTATAGTGTATTGCCAAACTTTTCTGAAAAAGTCTCCATTGTTGCGATCAAGAAGTGCCCGTTCCAAGGAACGGGCACGGAACGAAAGATATTGTTCTGTTATTCGCCGATCACCAGACCAAGCTGTAACACAAAAGATTACTAAAACATTAGCAAAACCTGACTAAAATCTCTCAGCTTACGTCATTCCTGAACCTCGATGTTTCACTGGAGTGAAAAGCGATGTTTCGAAACACTGGAAGCTCGCGTGCGTACAACAGGTGGTTGATCAAGTGGTCATCAATTTGTCCGCTGAGCATGACAGTTCGCCTGAAGAATTTTCATCCCCAATCGTCATCAGCTGCGCACCGATGTCTACTGGATTAGGAATCAAGCGTCTACAAGCCCGGCGAACAGATTAGCCACCAGGGGCAAGATGTCATCCATACAAAGCAACCTTAAGAGCTGTCTAGCTTTATGGCTATGATACTTGGCCCCTGCGATCTGAAAACGCCTACAAAACTTTGACGACAGATACCTTCGTAGCAGAGCTTGAACGTGTACGTAACGAAATAGTAGGTGGGTGAGTACTTGGTGGCAAAACAAAATCACCTAAACAGCAAATGAAACTTATCAGACGGATATGCTTGGGGAATGTATTACTCATTCTCGTCTACCGTCCACCAAACAACGCGCAAAACGGGGCAGCTACCGTCAAACGAAATGCTGTTGGGTTTTTCACGTAACCTGTCCCACTGGCAAGCACTTAACCGCTTTGTGAATGGAATGCCCGGCTTAAATTTGTCTCCTGTTGTCTGGTGGATTCATTTCCAGTGAAGTTTGCGTATGTTGGATTAATCTCACTGATAATGTCTAACTTTGATGCGATGCTCAGATGCGTTTATCTCGTTTCCGTTCCAAGATGCAGGTCCCTTGTTCTTGGCCGTTTTCCATGGAAAACGAAAGGTGCTCATAGCGATTCCCAGGCTTCCTTTCCTTTCATCCCTTACTAGAGTGTTCTTGATCATGACAGTGTGGTAGGTGTACGCCAGTATTAACGACCGGCATATTGCTGTTGGTCACTGTGATGTGAGAATTATCTAGAACATAATAAACGTGTATTAGTTAAACAAAATGGACAGTTATGGACTTCAGTGAAGTTATATGAAATTTTCCTAAGAGCTTGCATTTAGACGCTGACCAAATCGAGCAGTTTTCAGAAGGAAGACGGTGATAACACACTATGAGCAATATATCGCAATAAACGCGATCGTAAGGTAAAAGATCATGTCCTTATGAGCAGTAACTCTTGTCTTTAAATCGGTTCTATTTCCATAGCAACAATAATGGGCAATCTTACTTTGATTTCCGAAACGTCATTACATCCTCGTGCTTCTCACTCTCCAACCCAGCTGCAAGAACGAATGCGAGCCGTTGGTGAGTCCGCGGTAATTGCTCGTCGAGAGAAACTGACCACGGAACTGAACAGACTGCGCAACCGGGTTGATGAATTCAATGACTACGGAGAGATGGATAGTGAAATGCAAAACCAATATGTGCAAGACGTCCGTGCTGTGCTAAAACGTTTAATGGACGCGGAGAATGAACGTGCTTGGATTAACAAGGAGGAGGCATTATACAGGCTTCAAGTAACAAACTATCCGGATATCGAAGAGATCCGAGCTTTGGCTGAACCGTTCCAGAGACTATTCACCACAGTTGTAAGATACAACAAGTCAGAAAGAAGGTGAGGAAGCAGTGGTTGTGCATAGCTGTTTTTCTCCATTGTTGAACCGTGAACGTTTCACTCTTTGAGACCTAAGTATTGTCTTTAAATGCCGGTCACTATTTCATCCTACTCACCACGGGACGGATCTGTTGATACTAATCCCCCTGTATCAAATCGCCATCTTCCCTATTCTGGTCCGTTCAGATGGTTACATGGCGAGTTTGACAAGCTAAATGCCGAAGCAATCGAAGCGGAGGTGGAAGAGTACTGGCGCGAAGTTTTCAAATTGCAAAAGTTGTTTACAGCTAGAGTCAAGAAAATGCGCATGGAATTGGATGAACGCAGGCGAAATCAGAGAAAACGTCGAAAGGAAGAGGCACGAGCAGCCGCGGAAGAAGGAGCCGACGCAGAAGCCATCGCTGCTGCCGAAGCCGCTGCACTTGCAGCAGAAAAAGAACTTGAGGATGTCAAGCCACCGGCTGCACTGGACATTATCAAGAAAATACAGGCACAGATGAAGAGTTTCAAGGTAATTTTATCAAACAGTATCCGTATTCAATATCTATCAAATTTATTATTGCTAGATGTTTAGCGGCACTTAACTTATCGATGGTTATTTCTCCTTACCCCCAATTTCGGCTGCGTCAGATTCATGTGTTTCTCCCGTTTTTCCCCACTAATTTTCTTTTCACTGAACTGGGTGATTATCCGCCGATTGATGTGCATGCTGAAGTAACGATGAAAGAGGTCCTTTTTAATCGGTGTCCAACTCAATTTCGTGCCCCCGGTTCCATAGTTATTAGGCCCTCTTTGGGGTCGATTATTTCAGTTAGAAAACTGATGTAGGTATCCAAGAGTGGTTTTTCCAAGGAATTCACTAGCTAACAAAAATGTCCCACGTGAAAAAAACGATTATGCCGATTTAGGTAAGGTACTAATGAATCAGTATATCAAACACCCATACATTATTATTAAGTTGGACAATCACATGACAACGTCGAAGGGCTTCCGTTTGTGCAACTCTAATTAGAATACACACGATATTTTGAGCTTTTCTTTCTCTCTGTAATCTAAAAACAACAGAATGCTACTACCGTATTAGCAACCCGATAGCTGGCAATTCATCTTCAAGGCAGAAGTCTCCAAAATTTGAATGTGTATGAACTATTACAAATGAAACGTATCAACAAACATGAAAACGGTACTAAGTAAGAAGTATGATTCGCAGGCCGCTGTCTAGAATTTGTGACAGCGCTTTGTAGAAAAACCTCAAGAATCCTTCTTCCCTTGTATGACTTCGAATGCCCTCACCATTCGGTCATCTGCACCTCAGTTCGCCCCTAGAAAAGCCACACCACAACGACAGCGACAGGTAAGCAAACTCTACCCATTATTTCATGCTATTCGTGAGTGTACCGCACCCAGAAACGTGTTCGTTTCACCCAACTATAGCTACGTACAATAGTGGTATTTAATCAGTTATCCCTTCAGTCATCAAGAATTAGAACTCAGCTTTACTTATTCAGAATAATAGAGACTTTCTTTACGTAATTTACGCGAGTTCAAAAGGCCGAAATTTGAGAAGTAAAAAGAGCGATAAACAACAAGCGTGGTTTTGCGGCTTTGTAGTGAACAACGGGCAAAGCAAAAGATTAAAAGGCCGAAATTTGAGAAGTAAAAAGAGCGATAAACAACAAGCGTGGTTTTGCGGCTTGGTAGTGGATAGCGGGCAAAAGGAAAAGATTGATTTGAAAAATTACTTTGAAAGACACTGTAGAGAGGGGGTGGAATTTAGCCCAAGTTTTCTTTGATCTGAGCGAATCTAAATCTATCAGCAAATCATCCAAAAGCTGACAGGCTGATGCTTGTCCAGCAGTTTATGTCTCTTCATGATATTCGAGGAGGAACAACAGTCGAGGAAGACACACTAATTGAGGTATCTTTATCTGAGGCTGAAATGGTTCCACAAGCCAGCTATTTATTCAAAACAAAAGGCTTAAAATACAAAAGGATATCACCAAGAGTCTGAGCTTTAAAACCAGTGATTCTTGCTCCGCTTGAAAGTTACAAAACGCCAGGATCAAAGTTCCCCGAAAACAACTAGTAATCGGTTCATCAAGCCGTGTATCATTGCGGTTTACTTGCACCATTCTTGGTCAGGATACCACGAGACTGCATTGAATCCCTGTCAGACTATGCTATCCCCAGTGGAACTTCTTGCGCCGCAAAAAATTTTAAACGGAGGGTAGAACCCCGCTGCGTGATATTTTAATCTGCAGTAAATCACCAGAGGTTGCTCGATACGGAAGGCACAGAAGCCATTGGAAGTGACCTCAAATTAATCGGTCTTGAAAGGGCGAACTATCCCCACAGCCGGGCATTCTGGTAAGTTTTTGACTACTGCACTTGACTTTCAAACAGCGCGCAACTGAAATGGTTTCCGGAAGGCCGTATGTGATCCAAGTTACTTGAGAAATGAGGGCAAAGTCAGCACCCTCTTTTGTATACATGGACAGAAAAGAACAACTTCGCTGTACTGTCCCATCTGATTCAGATGCACCGTTGCGTAGTCCAGTGCAGCATTTAACGATGCCAAGTATTCCAAACGTGGTAAAAGATTATCACATTGACACCAGCACTCAAAATGCATGGACCAAATAGGCCAAAATGGAAAACCTTCCAACTCTAATGATAAAGATCGCATGTATTCATTTCCTGTCATCCCACTCTATTCGGCAACTTCTGACCCGGGTAGCTTAGTGGACAGTATCATGGACTCAAAAATCCGAGCTCGAATCCCCGCAGAGACGTTTAGGGAAAATGGCGTACCCATTATTCTTCATCGCCTATAAACGCGCTACCCTACTTACATAAAGCGGTCATCACTCATTAAATGTATTTTTTGGTAGAGTGCTATGGTCCCGAGCCATATGGATCAGACTTCCAGATAGATATGCAGTGACGTTAATTCCGTGGATCTTGTGTGAAAGAGAGGATTCCGTTGATCTATTGCTCAGTGACCAAACAAAATGTTAAAGCTTGTGAACTTTTGGTTGGAAATGTCTTCAAAAGAAGCGGTTTCCACGAGGAACACTTGAGATATGTTTGTACAGTAGCCTCTTACCGAAACCAAAACTGGGCCCTATCTTGTTACCCACCACAATTTGCGAGTACTGTTCCGCTTTCTTCATCCATCTCTACTTGAATGTGGTGCGGGAAATTCAGCTGCAAATCAATTTGGTTTCTAACACCTTTTGTTTGCGAAAAAGTATTTTTTAAGCCTTCAGAAACTGCGAGGTACATACAAGGTTCACATAAGACCTCCTTCAAATAATAGGAGAATTGTATAGAAAAAATTGAACAACACAAGTGAGATCCATATGCTAGTGGTCCTGGCAAATTTATGTGCTCATTGCTGTCACCAAATAAGCTGTTGCTGCACAGCCGACTGGGTCTGTTACAGGTCCATCAGATCCCGGCAAGTAGACTGCGAATAGACTGGGCACTATCTTAGTGTGGAGCTTGTGGGCCTCTCTTACCAACTGGGCTGTGCTAAGGTAACTTAACATGCAAAAAGTTCTTTTATACCAGGTTGGTCGGTGAATAGTGGTTCAACAAACACAGTATCCTAGCCCTCCAGGCTGCGAGCCAGGATATGAATGGCAACTTGTTCCTTAAGGAACTAGTACTAGTGTGGTAATATACCGGCACTCACTCGCTGCTTTTGGTCGGGCTTTTGAGCTAAAGGTTTTGATTGAGAATCCCAATCGCTCTTCTTTCTAGATGTGGGCACGCTGACAGTATCCCACCCAACGTACAGCTATGATTCTCACAACTTAAAATACTTCCGTACTACATGGACCTCGCATGGTGTCAGGTCGCCTTACTTCCTGCATACAGCGGGGCGGATAGGCGTATAAATACCTGTGATGGCTTCCTCAAACCACTCACGTATTCCACCTTCTCCCAGCGTGGGTATTGTACTCGGTCATCAAACGGACACAGCCCTGCTTTGTTGGATACCTGCTGACGGTCACCTCTATTCAGTTCGTCGCGTAACGTCTGTGAAAGTATCTCAACAAAGGTCCATTGCTCCCTGGGTACGATATCGGTTTATACCCCCGACGGACTGTAGCTGTGATTCTGCCGAAGCAAGTTTCTACGACGCTCCAGGTGCTCTTTTACAACAAACTAAAAGGTCAGACATCGTTGTGGTCACTGATGAGATGAACTCTTAGGTTGGTAGGCTCAACGTTACCAGGATTCAATCGGATAGTCGTGTTGGTTTGGGCACGAGACGCTCGCGAAATGGGAAGTCTAATAGAAACAGACGGTCCCAGGCAACTAGGGTGAGTCGATTATAGTGCCCGTTTTCAAAAATGGTTCGGCTGCCACTGCAACAAGACTTCTGGCATCACTGATTCTTCTTCTTCTAAAGGAGGCACATGAAACCTTAACTAATGATTATCAATAATTTCAAAGGGTTAGAGGATATGTCGCCACAAATTCACACTCCGTCACACCTCACGCCATACCCACAGACCACATACGGTCTTGGTGTTCCTCAACGTCAAAGGTGCTTTGGTTTCTGCCGACTGGTCAATGCTTCTACACCTGATCAACAGGGGGGCATAGAAAAGTTTGTTAACATAATTGGGTTCTTATGTCCACATACTTTCTGTGGGAATAAATTGGACGCTCCAAAATCAACCCCACGAGAAGTGTTGTTTCTCAAGGATTTCCACTCTCTGTACTCTTATTCAACTTCTTCACTGATGGAATAGTGAGGTGAAGGCTGGAGGCTTACAGATCGTTACTGGTGGAAATATTGTCCCTCCGCAGTGTGTGGATAATGCTGCCCTAATAGTTGAATACGAAGGCCCAGCATAAGCACTGCTGAATGAACTGACCACTACATACTACTTTTCTGCATGTGTCTTGAACCTACATAGTGAAGAGTCATGCTACAGAACGTGCAGTCTTGGAACATCGGCCTTGTGGAGAATGTTACATAACTCGGGAGTTTGTGATGAAGTCACAGCACGAATTCTAATGGTCCGAATCACTTTTGCAAATTTGTATTACTTGAGGCGTCCAAATAGCATATAACTAAGTCCTAAGGGTTGCGTGTACCGGGTTACACTAAGGGCTGTTTGTTGCCAAACATGGCCTCCGAGGATCTGAGGTGTCTTCCAGTTGCTGCCCACTGATATCTCATAAGCACTTTTGGTATCCAGTGACGTCCACGAATTCGTAGTGAATTGATCAGACGTAAATCAAAGGTAAATTTTACGGAAGTCCGACGGCGCAGTTCTACTACACACCGGTAGTACAGGAATAAGTTATGATCACGCTTAGTGCTGTGTCTATCCTTCTTCCGAATACATGTAGCTGTCAGTTCACAAGTTTCAGCTAGTCCCGTTCCCTTATACGGTACTAGTGAGTAACTAGTCAAATGTATTTGTTACAGTATGCAGGTTTCTGTTTTCTTCCGTGTTTCGGTACAATAAAAAACGTTTCTTTTTTCCTCATCCTTCTAGTAAAGGTTACCTGAACCAGATGCAAAACGATATGTTCGCTTTTCAGGAAAAAAACAAAAAAAGCTCTTCGTTAAAAATAACCCTTCTTTTCGAACTGGCTAATACAACCTTCCCTTTTTCAGGAAATCATACCAGTTATCGGGATTCTGTGCAATCCTGGCATACGCAAACGCCATTGGGAACAAATGTCCCTCATCGCTGGGCAGGACCTTACGCCAGACAGTGGAACATCCTTAGCGAAAATGCTACAACTGAATTTGGACCCCTATATGGATGAATTTGCTGGTATTTCAAGTGGAGCGAGCAAGGAGTTCACCTTGGAAACCAACATGCGGAAGATGCGTGAAGACTGGGTCGAAGTTGCTTTCGGGATGACTGCCTACCGCGAAACCGGTATTTCTATTCTGGCTTCAGTCGATGACATACAACAAATGTTGGATGATCAAATCGTGAAGACCCAAACAATGAGGGGCTCTCCATTCATTAAACCATTTGAATCTGAAATAAAGGTACGATGTATAAGTATTTGTTTGACGATCAGTTGTCATGTATTTTGGACGGTTAACTGAGTATATTGGTTCTCCCCAGCCAGGTGTCTACATGTGGGTTGCCAGAAGTGTAGCCCATACGATGGCCTTCTGACGTGGAATCCTCAAAAAGAGACACATGGTTACAGAGAAGAAGTACAATATGACATTCTTCTCTATTGCAGGCATCTCAAGATAAACACACGGAGAATATTTTCTGACTCAAAACTGGCTGTGGATGCCCTCCGTCGTGCCAACCGTCTTGACTATCAACGTAGTTTACAAGCCACCAAGACAATAAATGACCGCGTTTCCATGCTATATTGCTACCCTGATGATTCTAAACTTCAGTTGACCTGAATAACAATTAATCCTATGCACGGTAATGGTTGATGCAACAAAGAATATGGTCATACTGCGGACCGGAGGTTAAAAAGTTGCAGTATAGGATTATATTTGTCCGGCTTCGAGAAGAACATGGTTACGTTGGACTTGAATCTTATTTTTCGGGTCTTATTTGAGTCTGGCTAAGCAGCACAAAGTTCTACATGACCGTCTTACGAGAGCCAAGGGCCGATACTCAGGCTTACAACGTACCTGCTTGAAGACATCATTTAGAGATGCACAAGGGTAGCAATAACATTCAAATCAGTTCATCATAATGAAAACAGATCACTAACCTATGATAGCCACTTAAAAGAGATGTGGAAAATGTCCTTGTCGATCTGCTCTCGCAAAAGTTAAACTCATCAAGCGAAAGTTTGATGTCACGTGAAAGCATTTTTTGGGGCAATACTGCTGTTGTTCTTGAAAAAATTCGTCATCGTACTCGATCTTACTGCTGTCTATTGAGAACTTTATCGAGTTTTTATCGTTCCTATTTACGAATTTACACACAACGAAGTTGTAGTGTCTTAAATTTGATCAGCACTGACAAAATGGAATTATGACAGGTATGAAATTACTGGTTTTTGACTACTTCGGGGGTCGGATCCCTCGTAAAACTGATGGGAATTCGCTCAACAGTAATGTTTACCAACGGCGTTGAATAATTCTGCTGACAAAATGGCATAAGCTCCAGTAATTATGCCGATAAGGGTATGAGTGTCCGTTGCTTGGTTTGTTTGTTCGTGAGCAAACTAATTACACTGATGATTTAAAAATCTCCCGTTCTCGCTCTAGCCTTCAAAACATTATTATCTGGTACTCCATTTTTAGGAATGGGAGGAGCGGCTCCTTTATATCCAGGAGACCATTGATGAGTGGCTCAAAATGCAGGCTCAGTGGCTCTACCTGGAACCGATCTTCTGCTCTGAGGACATCATGCAACAGATGCCTGAAGAAGGGCGTTTGTTCCAAGTGGTGGATAGAAATTGGAAGGATATAATGCGCAATACGGCGAAAGATCCGAACGTATTGAAAGTGAGTGTGTCACGTTTCATGGTCAGTTTGGGTGGACGGAAATTTCAGTTTCAATATCACTATATTTTGATTCATATGATCCGTGTCCATGGGATGTCTCCATATATAATGAACCCATCTTAACTGGAATAACTCTTATTGATGTTTTGGATCATGTGAAATTACTTCGGTCCCGTGAATGTCCTTACAATTTAGTTATTTCTGTTTAGCCGAATACAATCGCCACATAAGAGGAATGGCGTCTACCGCAAGCGACTGTAGCCATAACTAAGTCTTGTTGAGTAGATAATCTTGGGCCTGAAATTACGCTATATATGAGCGGGCCACTATGTCAGACTGACGGTACGCACTTGTCCCACGTCTGACAGGTCAGTCCGTTGCGCAATTCACTGAAGACAACTCCCGTAAAAGTAAAAGCTGGGAATTTCAGGTATTTTGGCTGTGCCCAACCTATACAGGTCATGAAAGCCAATGTTGCTGGGACATCCGGATTTTCTGAAGTGCATTGGTAGCTTTGATAAGGTAGTTCGATCACCCAACCACATAGTCCAATTGAATTAAGGCTGTTTCGACCATATCGAAGTCATCCGATCACGACTAGCTTATCAGACGCTTGCTTGTGCTTACGATGTACTACTACAAACTCTTCAACGTTGTTTTATCGACACCGAAAAACCAAAGGATTTATCAATTATTCTCTTACAGGCCACTGCGTTCCAAGGTATTAAGGAGCGCCTGAAAGACAGCAACGCTCTGTTGGACAAGATTAACAAAGGACTGAATGCCTATCTGGAGAAAAAACGTTTGTTTTTCGCACGATTCTTCTTTCTCTCCAACGACGAAATGCTGGAAATTTTATCGGAAACCAAAGACCCTTTGCGTGTCCAGCCACATTTGAAGAAATGCTTCGAAGGTATTGCAAAGCTGGAATTTGACAATCGGCTGGATATCAAAGCGATGTTTTCAAGTGAGGGAGAAAAGATTGTTTTGAGCCAAGTGAGTGCGTGAAGTGCCCAGGGTAGGAGTGTCTGAAGGCAAGTTTTTTTTCAGATGCGAGCAATATAATTATGGTTTTGGTATGCATCTACTGCGTTGTTTGCTGTTGCCGAATGGAAGCGTTTTGTCGACCACGAAAATCGACACGGCGATCAGTCAACTTTGCTATTCTTCGTCCATCAAGCCGAACGAAAACTTATGTGAATCAAGGTGCATACTTGAGTGTACTACTGAAGTGATCGTGTCAAATAGTCTCATGCCTGCACATTTATACCCAAATTGCGTTGATGCGATTGACACATTTACATCTTCGTGAGTTCTAGACCGCCCCACCATGGAGAGAACGCGCTTTTTATGAAAATCAGTCTACCAGAAATCCAAACCAAAATTCAACCTTTAATAGATTGTTAGCGCTCTAGTTGTGACGTAATTGAGTTGATTATCAGACGGTAACAAGCACTAACAAATGTCTGTCTTACTAGAATGTGATGAATACAATAGTTAGGTGCACTTGATAAAAATAGATACAATGCGAAAAGTGGAGTAAGCCTGAAAGTGACTTATCGTTTGAGGACATCTGTTGAGAGTCCCTGAGTGAAGTTCCGGACGCGGGGCGTGTCGTCTCTGCGGGAGCAGGATAGCTGCTACACGTGTTCCGTAGTCGGCGTGGAGACCTTCGGAGTTCTGTTGACTTCCTGTCCTGTGCGCCCGAGTGTGTGTTGAGCCTAGGTGTAGGCCTATTTATCGTGTGCAGTGTGAAGAGAGAGGTGTCTTTTCGTGCTTGATGCCTGCACGAACATGAACACGACCTGACCTGATGTGTTGAAGTTCATACGCCTGGCGCGTTACGCAAGTGGTAGCCGCGTAAATAAAAAAGAATGAGAATTTGCAGTGTACTGGTTGTCGGTTAAGGTTGCAAGCGGGACAGGAATAGTCACGGGGTGACCTCTACAAGATCAGTCGGTTGCTAGGTCTAGGAAATACGACAATCTACCACTAGTGTTTCACCTTACTTCTTTCGTCAATTTCCCACTGTAATCGTATGACTGTCAGTCGATACGGGATTTTCGCTTGTCCTTGTCACGGTTACCCGAGAGGATTTTAAGCTGATGACACAAATGATGACCTTTCTTCGGTTTTTGAAACCAAGCGTGACTGAGCTACATCAAAATGACTTTGTCTCTGTCCTCCATAAACCCACATGTTGGCCCACCTTTGTCGTCCAACTCATATGTTTGGATACAACTGTGTTTCTACAGAAACACAGCTCAGCTTATTGACCACGAATGAAAAAGACCGATCAAATTGATAACATCTGCGATTCCATTAATCTATGAAATTTGCTCCGAAATAGTCATCATGCACGACTTGCGCGTCCTGTTCGCTGACCTATCGCGCTTGTTGGCATTGTGAATAACCAAGCCAGTGGATCTGTTTAAAGCTGATCTCCCACAGAATCACATGGCAACGTGCATACAGGTTGCAGGTGTCTAAGTAGTACAACAAAACTCCGCGCCCTCAGATTTCATTTAAAAAACTTGTTCCCCGACTTTAATATCATCGGCAAGTGTCCCTCGTAAGATTCATAAATTTGACCTACACATGCGGTAGAATATGATGGAAGCGGTCACTGTAGACCGAAATGTGTCCTTAGGTTTCAGCGTTAGCGCAGACGGAATAGTCCTTGTCGAGTTGCATTGCTCTGAGTTTCTTAGTTTTGCCGACTCTAGTCATCCCGATAAGTGCACAGGAATGTACCCGTGGAAACTGACAACAAGAACGCCAACTGCGATCGGTTTCATCAATCTGTGACTTTTAGTTTAACTTTTCATCTGGCTATCCACAGCACCTGACTGGTGACGAATAATCAGATTGTTCCAGATACATAATCACTGACCCCTGCAAAGAACCTAAACATTGTAACGACAGCACTGACCAGGCTCTGAATTTCACATGTCAGCCACGAAACGTCCTGATTTACAACGTTATTTTATCAACTTTGGCTCCCTTTCCTGTTTTCCTTACTTAATGTCTGTCAAATCAATTTTCCAAGGTTGTCAGCACCTCGGAAGCCCGAGGAGCAGTGGAAAAGTGGCTCCTTCAAGTGCAAGAATCCATGCTGCTCTCGGTCAGAGATGTGATAGCTGCTGCTCGTGAGGTAAGTTATCGAAGACGAGGGTTTGCGAAACTGCCAGGGTGCAAGAAATGGGCTGGAAATCCGAATTCTAATTCTGCCCACATGTTCGACTTTATGGTCAAGTGTATGTTTGCTGCTTTACAGAGATATATATATATATATCAGTGAGCCCCGGAGACGATATGCGTCCAGTTAAACACCCTGGGGGAATTCCCATGGAGGAAAATGCTAGTAGCTCAGGCAGGTTAGATGTTGATTAGCTTGTTCACTGAGCTGGGCAATTGGATTGCAAACGTTTCATCACCGATCGAGGTGACATCAGCAGTGCGTTGTTAGGTTGCTTAGTGGTGCATAGCTACGCTCAGCGAACAAACCAACGACCACCGTGGGAGATTGTGTGAAGATCAGTTGGGCATCTCTTGCCACCTACCTGTGGATGAATAAATGCTGCGCTGCACTGATTGATAAAACTATTCACAAGGACACTGAAACTATTTCTGATAGTTAATTCAGTTAGCATGACTTCAAGAGGCTTTGCATCAATCACACTCACCACCAGTGAGGCTCCGTTAGAAGGAAAAAAGGGAAAACGAAAAACGAACCGAAAATCAGCTAGGACAGCCTTTATAGATCACTTGGGTAAACAAACAGAAGCTTAGTACGGTGTGTAATAAGAAAACGGGGGGACAATCCAAAACCGTGAATATGTGATGTAGGGGTTAATGAAAACTTGAAAAGTTGACTGATTTTTGGAGAACAAATGAGAATTGAAAAACCGTGACCAGTGTCACTGAATGCTTTGGATTTTGCGTGACTAACACGCGTAATTGTGGGTAGATTAGACAGCACCGAATCGCTGCACTCTAATACAATTTTCTTCATTGAGCACCGATAGGTTTTTCGCGAATTTTTTCAGGCAAAATGAGCTTACGCAACAGAGACCTTAGCAACCATTTGGAAACCTGATAAGCCTAATAGGATCCATCGCTGTGTCTCAGTATCGTGTCAGTAGGGTTAGTAAACAATCGGCAGTTTTTAACTGGGGAACGTTTCGTTTTTGACACAAAGGCTTTGTCAGGAAAACCCTTCTTAGACGAAGGTTTTTCAATCGGTTCCAAACTTTTTACACTTGAGTGTACCAGCATCTTTGTGAATGATACACACAGGATGAACTCCGAAATCCATCAAATGAATCCTTCTGAATTAACAAAGATCAACCTGAGGATTAATTTAATTCAGGCTCAGTCAAATAGAGGTCCATTCAGCGTTTCCATGCTCGTGGGGTGAAACTATACGCCCATATTTGTTTCCCTGTCCGATCACTTGTAGTGCACTTAAGGAACGAAAGGATTCAAACTTGGATGCCTCCACCCATCCGATTGAAGTCAACTGGATAGCAATTAATTGCCCATTGGGACGATCTATGTTTGCACTAGTGTATTTTGGCTACCTCATTTCTTCTTCCCCTTATTCCATGATCACGTGTCATGTATTATTCGTTCCGACACACCTTAGGCGTACGATATTGAAAACCGTGAGGATTGGGTGTGCTCTTGGCCCGGACAAGTGGTTCTGTGTGTATCACAAATTTTCTGGACCCTAGACGTACACGAATACCTCCGTTATGGTGTACAAGGTCTACAAAACTACCATCAAAAGTTGGATCAGCAGATGGCCGATATTGTTCGCCTTGTACGTGGGAAACTGAATGCTCAACAGCGTATCACCCTTGGTGCGTTGGTCGTGATTGACGTGCACGCTCGTGATGTGGTTAGAGACATGATCAAGATGGAAGTCACCTCAGAAAATGACTTCAACTGGTTGTCACAGCTACGGTACTATTGGGAAGAGGAAAATGTCAAGGTGAGTGCAATTTTCTGCTTCTTCGGTAGAAAGACAATGCCTCAGAATGCACCCAAAACTAGATTCGTGTAGTATGACTGTTCGACAAGCAAAATCCTGCAATGTTTCAGAATTCTTCACGACTTAGCAGTCTACCGAGCAGATGAACGCAAATAGTTCGTATCTATGGTGGTGTCTTATAAAGTTATGTTTCAAAAATGAGCGGTTCCCGCTAAACATTTCCAAAACTCTTACATAAATCTCATAGTCTATGCCGACAATCCATTTCGTATTTCTCATCTGCTTCCCATTAGAGAACTAGTCCTGCTTTATAAGCGACAAACTTATCTAGCTGACCTTAAGAAGCGAAACAAAACGATCTCGACCAGGTGAAGTAAAATTAATGATTTCCTTTCACAGGTTCGCCTGACCAATGCCACGGTAAAATACGCTTACGAATACCTCGGCAACTCACCTCGACTCGTGATCACCCCACTCACTGATCGATGCTATCGTACACTGATTGGTGCATTCCATTTGAATTTGAACGGGGCACCAGAAGGTCCAGCCGGAACAGGGAAAACGGAAACTACCAAAGATTTGGCTAAAGCCCTGGCTGTTCAGTGCGTCGTGTTCAATTGCTCCGACGGATTGGACTACATCGCTATGGGCAAGGTCAGTGTTCGAATCACTCGAATTAACTTCTGACCGTGTATTAATCAGAACTAATATCAGCGCTACCTTGGTGGCATAACTAGGTAATGAAGTGTTAGTTACTGCACTTTTCAGCCCAAATATCCTTTATACCCTTGCTGTTTGACTGTAGTTACGGACTGAAAATGATCACCTTCAATAAAAGACACTTTGAAAAGCATGAAAGATGGGAAACATAATTGATCAAAACCGCATTGTTCGGTTATCAGGTCAACTTAGTGCGTTGTCCCTCATAACATGAGAGGAATCCATATTCCTTTGCGTGGGAAACGTAACACAGCTTAGAAAACACTATCGCTGTTCAAAAACATCTGTAGTTACTGTGGTTAAGCCTTATTCGAAAGAACCCCGCCGATGGATTTGAGTGCCCCGCTGTAGCCTATGAAATCGGAACTGATAGCTTCCAAACACAACAATCCGTTTAAAAATGCATGGGCACGAATAAATCTTTCCGGAAGGTACTTTTTACAACTGTTTTGTTTTTCCGCTTATGAGTTGCCTTACCTCGTGTTGGTAACTTCTCACATTGTCTATTTACTAGCTGCAGCTTGTCCATAGGAAACGCGTTTAACCGTGTTGTACACCACCATACTGTAGCATGCAAATCCAGTCAAGCTCATCTGTGACAGGATGACTTGATGGGCAACTGGATGCCTTCAAAGTGACTTTAAACCTAGCAGAGCCGATTGAGTTTGTGGTGCTAGCTTAACTTCGTTTTTACTGCGTATACATATCTGAGCTGCCCTCAGGCTTGTCTCCTTCAAATCTCAATTTCTGGCTTGAAAACAGTAAGTTTCTTAACTCTGATTTTAAATACATAAAATCTTAGTAGACCTGTCACCATCGGCGGTCTGCGAGATATGAACTTGAGGAGAAGGGACAAGGAGCAGGAACAGAATTACGTGACCTAAGTCCATAACTATGCGTACGAAATGCTCGGAAATACTATATTCTGTGAACCCAGGACTTCAACTGCAAAATGTGTTGATGGTTCGATCAAACCAGGGCGATCGGGCCAAAGGAGGAAGACGAACGGCTGTTTGTACAAGATGGCTGGAAGTACTCGAGGCTCGTATGTTCACGAAGAACACTTTCTCATCCGTACTCATATCACTATCACTTGAACAGTCGTCCTCCTGTCCTGGTGGGTCCACACCAAAAAAGGGAAGTACTGGATTCGAGTTTCGCTCTTGTTAGAGCTCATCAGCAGTGCATATTCAATGGCCGTGACGAGGTTTGAACTCCGGTCACCTGACATGCGAGGCGAGCGTGTTACCACTACTCCACCAGCGTACTTTGGACGCTTCTCCCCTTTCGTGTGGACTCACCAGAATAACTACGCCAGAACAGGAGGACGACTTCAACCGAGAGTGATGTGAGCATGAACATACCCCGCAAACCCCACAGCAGAGACACATTATAACTCGATGATAGTAGCCGAGTTCAGGTCATCATGCATCGCCGACAAAATAGCTCGAAACTTCTCGGGTGTTTTCCAGATGGTTCGTCCACTTGTGGTCTTGCGGGCTAACTGGGGTACCCTAACCACGTCGATGCCAAAGAGGAGACGGTTAGGATGATTGCTATAAAAAGTCCCCTGATATGGTCGTTGAGTTGTTCGCTGAGCTGGACAATTTGATTGCAAATGTTTCATCACCAATCAAGGTGACATCATCAGTAAGTTGTTGGAGAGCATGGTGGATAGTAGCAGTGGGTTAGTGGTTGTACCTGATATGTCAATCACAGGATCCTGCAAATGATAAAACTTGTACCTAATAGTGGTCGGATATCGACTAAATAGAAAGAAACTACTAACATCCTACCATAAAGCCTAGAGGATTTGTTTGCTTTACCATAATTTACACTTAAAAGCAACCTAAATTTTGGGAGCCAACCACCATGCTCCACATTCTATAACTTGCCAACGACCAATGTGATTGATGGGAACATTTTCTAGCTTCGATTCACGTATTCTCTTCCATATCACCAATCTTCATGTGCCAACGCAATCGATGCCACTGTGCAGTTCTTTAAAGGACTCGCGTCATCCGGAGCTTGGGCCTGCTTTGACGAATTCAACCGCATCGAAATGGAGGTCTTATCGGTGGTTGCACAGCAGGTAATTTTGTTTGTTTCATTATTTATCTGTCTTTGAAAGAAGCGGAGCCAACGGTTAGAGGGTGAATGATACACAATCATCCTCGTCTTATGAGATGCATCTCTATCCTGAAACCGATCCCTTCTAGACAAGAAACGAAACTTCAAATTTCGTTGTCAAAGTCTCCTCTTAACGAGCTTGTCTTGGCCAGAATCTTTTTGTTTTAAGAGACTTTGTTGCGTCAGAAATCGGCTCCAAGCAACCTTGAAGTAAGTATAAGCATAGAAAATGATCAATACTACTCAAAAAGTGATGATATAAAAATCAGGAAATTGCTTATATGTAATCGATTATGTGATTTTTGCTGGGGAATTTATGGATGGCACCTCAGCAAAAAACTTTAAAATTATCTATTCAGTTGCAAAAAAGAAAGCGCTAAACGTCTTCCTACTGTCAACGGAAACTTTGCTGATAAATGAAATTTCTTCACAATGGATTCCCATTTCATCCTCGACACGAATCCATTGGAGGCTGTTCTTTTAGCTACCAGAGAACCTTCGTCTGTGAGTACGGGGTGATTTGTACCCCCCTTTCTGCTGCTCGTATCCAAAGATTAATGAGAGATCTGGCAGTCCATGGCCTGACGGAGAGGCACCGTTTGCTCAAACCCAGATAATTCGCAGAACGTCGCGAATAAGAACTCCAACTGTTCCTGCCCGATCCGCGTTCATCAACCGAGTTGAGGGCCAGCAACAACTTGTCATCATCATCAGCATCATCATCATTGTTGACACTGATGCCCCGCTGCCTTACTACCACAGTGTGTGTATAATTAGAATTAAAGAACTAAAGTGAAAAAAGAAAACCCGAATGGGAACGGGACCCGGTGCTAACCTATCGCAAGCATCCTGGTATGTCTACATCTTCAGGCACACCATCAGACAACCCAAAAAGAAACTGATGGCGTGGGCACCGCTGACACCGCTTACGCACCATTTCTTGCAATGTCTCCAGCGAAGCCAGAGGGGCTTCATGGGTGATCCATCCTAGAAAGCGGACCATACCAGCAACATCCACACTCCTCGTAAACTCCTTCACAACGTCACAAGTTGTCTAGCAGTCTACGCCATTCTTAAATAGGTGCGGAGAACGATACTTGTCTCAATGACCGACGAATCGGCGTACACAGTTTCTGGTGGAAGAAAGAGCACACGCAGTGTTAAATAAACTGACCACGATAACATATTCTTTGGGACTGTGTCTAGAGTCTACAAAGTACAAGTACATGCCTCAAAACGTGCAATCTCTGAACGTGCTCTTCGTAATTCCGCCATCGAGCAGGTATACCAGGTTAAGCAATCTAAAAAGTAATGTGCAAGCGTAACTCCTTCAGCCCCCGAATGAAGCGTAGGGAGTTCTGTTTCAGTGTTGAGACCGGAAGTTGCCTGAGATAACTGAAAAGTTGAGCAATAAAATTTCAGCTCTCAAACTTCCTAACCGGCGTGATAATCCTACCGTGTGAGCTACTCGACCACATGCGTACCAAGTGCGGCACAGGCGCACCCGAACCAACGGCTGGCATGTCAACCTTCCAAAATACAGAGCATCCTCAGCAGCTGTCATTCCTGGACCGGCCTTATTACATTACCTCTATTTCTTTATATTTCTTTACATTGCGATATACAAACGATCATTTCCACTATTTTCAACCGTTCAGTTCATAACGAGCTGCCTTGACGATGGGATGAATCGACTCTACATAAACCCCGTACTGTCGTTACCCAAGAATAACAGTCTAAGACCAGAGTTGCAACCGTTGACATCCAATTCTGATGCCATCAATAAATACTGACCCCACATGTACCAGATTATCAGCCTATCTCCGGCAATTTCCCAGTTTTAGATTAGTATAGACCACGAAATTCATCCTTCCTAGGCACACCTTCACATCATTCCGCCATTCCTTGTGACGATGTTGCAATAACGAACGAATACAAACGGAAAACGATACTATTCGCTACCTTTATAACACTCCAGGAACGAAGAGTTTTCAGTAATGTATTGCGATGTCTCAAAAATCGTATGGCTAAAACGGACCACGAAATTCATCCTTCCTAGGCACACCTTCACATCATTCCGCCATTCCTTGTGACGATGTTGCAATAACGAACGAATACAAACGGAAAACGATACTATTCGCTACCTTTATAACACTCCAGGAACGAAGAGTTTTCAGTAATGTATTGCGATGTCTCAAAAATCGTATCGGCTAAAACGTGAGGTGGTGCACATTTAGTTGATTTGGAACATCATAAACGGGAGATTCAGCTGAGTTTCAGGTGAGGCTCCTGTCCAAACCAAATTGGTATGCAGGTGAGTGTATGAGTGAAACAAAAGTACTGTTTATTCAACTTGGGGAACTTTTTCTGGCGGTTTAGGAGGCGGTTTTCTGCGGAAAAATTTGAGGAAAGCACATTTTATCGAATGAGCCGGTGGGCCAATCAAATCCAACCGTCTATATCAACGTCTCCTCATAAATTTATTAAAAAGGGAGTTAACCATCTATGTCTTCGGAGCATTGCCCGAGTCTGATGGAAACACCGGATAAGCAATGGCGAATCGTATTCGGAAGAAGTGACTCACCCTCGAGAGTTGAACTTATCACGCTTCATAAGTTGCGCTGGCATGAACACGTGTTCCGTATGCCAGTTGGCCGACTTCCTGGAAGGGCTATTTTTGCACAACCACGTGAAGGGTGGGAACGAGCCAGAGGCGGTCAAACAATAACTTGGCAGTGAAGTATGAAAGCCATTACCAGATAACTCAGCCGCGCTGGTTTTTGCAGTCTTCCCAGATGGGGACCCCGAGACGGGCCACATCAATGGTTAGAGACGTGACTCAGTTGCCTTCATGCATCCAGCCATTGGCTTTCAATGCATAGCTCCCTTCCCAATCCCCCACCTCTCAGTCCACTGACAATGCTGTATTTACGCACCAACCTATCAGCTCCCAACTCCAATGCGCAGCTACCTACCTCACCTGCCCAAATCATCGGTGAACGAAACTGTGGTAGCTACAACCACGATA